TTTCACATTTGATCCATGTTGAGGACACCTTGAGCTCTTGACCCATATTTTAATTTACCACTCCATCACCGAGCACAGGACATTAGCACAGCGGACGCACCATTACGCACGTTCAGTAATGGATCATGAACTAGCTCATTGTGTGAGCCACACAGAGGCCACATACTCCCTCATCTCCTCTGTGGCTTACAAAAACTGATGAGGTATGTATTGTTTGGGTGTAATTTATTGTTACACGTCCTCTCTCCGGGTAGATTGGCCCTCCTCGGCTCATTTATAGGACCAAAATTCTGCGGTCAGTCTTGCTGTGCAATCTGCTCCGTGATTTATGTCTTCGCGGGAAAAATAGACCTAGTATCCTCAGCAAACCATCAACCACCACCGCTGGTATTTGTATAAAAAGGGCTATTCCTGCCGTTGACCTCCAGCGCAGAGAGTTGCGGTTTCTGCGCAATTGCGTCGCATTGTTTGTGTTACCCAAGCAGATTTGTCTTTAATTAGCTCCAGTGACGATAAAGAGGGACACTTTAATCATAACGAGTTTGGAACATAAAAGCCATAAGGCCTTCCTTCCATTAGCAGCTCCAGTGTTTACTGGGAGACTCTAAACAGAGCGCCTAAAGATAAACAGAGGCGCTGCCAGAGTCAGACGCTGGTGGACAAGGAGGCATAAACCCAGATTGATTGTCATTCTCCTTGGGAACTAAGGGCATTGTCATGATCGGGCCATGAGAACAGTGGGGATGTATCACTGCTGAAGAATGTAGTCTTTTTTTTTTTTTTTACTTTTCTGACTTCTGACTGGCTTCTCTTGAAACAGGAAGTCCCTCAAATATTGTCTCCCTCACCTTTACAAACCATTTAATAGTCACTCACTGCCACACATGAAGAAGAGAATTAGGATTGGAGTTAGAAAAAGCAAATGTTTCTCTACTTATTGGTCCTGTGAGTATTGGTGTTGCAACATGCAGTGATGAAAACCAGATATTCAGACAGAGGGAGGCCGTCGTTTTGGTCTCAAATATCGAAGCCCCTCTGTTGGCTTCTGTATGGGAGTGTGATGGTGGCGGCGTGGTGTTTGTGTGTCTGTGGTTTTGGTATTCCTGTACTGTGTAAGTTTGGGTTCATACTCCTGTGTTGTTGCACATCTGGCTCTCCACTTTGATTAATCGCGTCCTGTGCATCTTTTGACGATTCCCTCAGATTTCTGCGGTGACCGGGGGATTAGGTTGCCATCTCCTCCAGCCGTACACAGAGTCCTAACCGCCCTGGAGGAGGGACGGCTTCCTCCCTGAATGTGATTGTAATTAATGTTGGACAGGCCAAGGCTTTCCATCTGCTTTGCAAATAAGGCCTTGCACGACTACCGTGTGTCATCGCCATCCGATTAGTTTTTAATGTGTCTCTTTCTCGATTGGGGCGGTTTGTGTGGAGCGACTCAGAAAGCTTTAGTAGAAAGAGGCCTGAAACTCTTCTGGGTGGTCCTCCTTGTTTCAAAAGCGGTCTTAAGATCTGGATATCACGTGTGGCCAAAGTGAAACTACAAATTAGAATCAAGATAAATGAAAGGAAGAAAAGCGAAGAAGCCAAACAAGCTGTCTGAAACGATTTGAAGAATATGGAGCAGGATCAACAACGTATCCATTGAAAGGCACCTTGCCCGCCTTCAATCTGTGTTTGTGAAACCAAATCAAAGCAAAAGAAGAATGCAGTGGCTCTGTTTACACCGATGATGTGATTCAAAACTGGATTCACCTTTTCACATTAGCAAATCCTCCGTGCGTGTAGATGTAAGAATCTCCGACTTTAAAGTGGCCCACAGCAAATAAAACGATGACAGTGATTTAAGCTTCGGCCTGAGCTGATGTCTTTCACAGCCAGCTGCGGCAGTAGCACAGATAGAGAGCTCATTTTCTGAGGGTATTCTCTTGGGGCTCGGGTAGATTTAAGAGCCCCTGCGTTACATCCAGTCTCAAGTGCGCTCTCTGCGAACCATATGCCCCCTCCCACCTCCACTCCTCTCTGCATGATTCATATAGACCTCTTGTTCAGTCATCCATTCTCTTTAGCTTTCATCACTTGTTCAAAATGACCCTTTGAAAAAATAAAAGCAGAGCAAGTGGTGGAAAACTTCAAATTGGGGGACCAGAAGCATATTTTCCAGCTCCTTTTTCATCTTCATTCCTAGAATAGCGTGTTCATCACTGTTTGCCTTGCGGACGTCCTGCTTTCCACTGAGGTCTAGTGAAGTGACATTGTGTACTGAATGACTCATACCGTGTGACACGCTGCAGCTCCGAACATGTCCTAATGCCCAGCAGGGTCCTCAGAGTTTTAGACCTCTAGTAGCGCTGGAGTTGCTTCTGAGTTGGGTCCCTGTTTTGTTAGCCTGGTGCACATGCAGATAACAGTTTTCCTTTGTGGCTTAAACATGCAGACACACTGACTTTGAACATGAAATCAAATGATTTTACCATTTAATTTATAAGAGGAAACAGATAGTCTTACCTTAAACAGACAAACAATGCCATTTGTAGTAGAACATCTTTAAAAGTCCCACTGAGGAAACTCTGAAGTTTTAGCATGATCTTTCATATTTATATTTTTGGAGTTGACACACATTTAGTGGAAAAGGGATGACCTACCCTTTTTAAAATGCTGGTCTCTGGTTACAGTCCTTTTTATAAATCCCTCACAGTGTAGTGTATTGTGGAGTCAATGGGGAGACACTGACCAATATTGGTAAGGTGCATCCCAGTGGAAAACAAATACAAGTGGTCAATGCTCACTCAATTAATGAGGGATGACATATTGGCGAACAAATATTCGCAGCCACCGTGGGGGCTATAATAGCCAACAGGGGAAAATTTGCTATTCCTATCGGGTTTGGTTTTTGTGGTCGAGCTGTTACCTCGTGGTTACGGTGAGTCAAGGATGCACAGAAATGGCTTTGGTTTCACGGGTCACAGAACAGGAAGTCCAAATGTTGTTCCTGTGTCATCTGTGTTTAACTGTGATGAGCTAGCTTTGCCGTTGCTCTCCCATGCCAGCCAGACAGACAGGTGTGGAGGCCTGTTTAAGCTTGGCTTGGCTCAGAGCGCAGCCACAGCTCCCGTTGCTTGTTTGCTCTCCCATCCTTTGCTGTTTGTCTGCTGGATCTTACCAGAGGGAATGTCCCATAATAATCCAGGAAAATCCATCTGTGGTTTTAGAGTCAATCTTTTACTTTTCCTACAGTTTTAACCATTATACCATTTCACTATTAACAGATGATCTTGACCCTGTCGTCCTTTTAATTGGCTGTTTTCTCTTTTATGGCTCCATTTACACTCATTTCAAGTGTCTGTCGGATAAAATCCATATGAGTTTTGACAAACTGTTGTTGACTCTTAGCTGCATATATGTGTCTCCGTTATCCAGATCGCAGATTATGATCTGATTGTTTTGGTTTTCCCTGACTACATGCTAAAATCAGGGTCTGTGCTACTTCAATCCAGAAGATGGTTTAATGCACTTGAAGCTTTTTGGTACCAACTGATTTCAACTATGACTGTAACTTAACTAGTTTGACTACGAGAAAGACAAAAGTATTGCTGATCTTACCAGCCTTTCACACCGTTCTCTCACCTGTACACATCATTCCGTGGTTGAAGTGATCAGGGATGAAAAGGCTGAATCACACATGCCTCCTGTAGCTCAAATATCATAAAATTATTTTATGCTTTCATGCACTTGTCTGTCATCATGACTACTCTCCTTTTCACCTTCTCCTCTCTCCTCTACGTCTCTGCACACCCCATTGCATGGCTATAGCTGAGCTGTCACTAGACCTCTTACCTAAGTCAACAGCCAAGCTTTCTACTAGCCTACCTCCCACACTTTAAAGGCAAACAAGCCAGAAGCTTTAAGAAGTGGGTTTTCAGGAGATTAGCCGGGTCCAGACAGCCCTGGGATTATTCTGAAATGAAGTGCCCTTATTAAAGGGCTGTTTTCCTTGTCTTATGATGCCTGGCTGCATTTCTCACTGCCTAAGCCCAGGTAAGCCACTTCCTTTGCAGCGAAACGTGTCCCAAAGCCCCAGCATGATCAAATAATTAGTTGGCTTCGATCAAAGAGTCAATTGTTTGATGCAGAAAGGAGCTTTGGAAAAATTTCACTAAACTGTCTTGAAACACTTCCTGCAAAGCCTCAGAGACCAGAACAGAACACAAGACCACCCGTCACTTCACCTCAACTTTGAGCATACCGTAAACAGTATTAGCCAGAAGTTAAGCGAGGAATTCAAGATATGCTGCAGCGGAATAAAGGATATTTTCTGTGGCATAAACTTGGCAGTTGAAACATTCCTGCAATGGTGAGAAAAATTACATTAACCAACTACAAACCTCTGTTTGTTTTCATCTGTTTACAGTATCAGATATTTCACTGCCGCTACAAGTTCACTTGAACTTGCAGTCATGTTCAAGAACGGCCCAAGATATACAAATAATTCTGCTTATTGAGTTACAGTGTTTTAAAGTGCTTCCTTTTTCTCATGTTTGGATTGTATTGGTTGTCAAGCTCTCTGGCA